TATTTTCTCGGAGAACTTATAATTAGCAATAGCTGCTTGAACTCTGTTGAAGCTCTCTGAACGACTAATGCGGTAACATTTCCCGGAGCTCTTCTTTTAAACAGTGTTCCTTTCCACATTTTTTTTATAGACCCTAAAATGGAGAGGATTTTTTGACATTATACTTTGAAGAACAGTTGCGACGTGGTCGAAGGATACCAAATTGACACACATCATAAGAATGCATTCTAACAATATCGAATCTTTTTTATCTAAGGGATCGGCGCCAACGACAATAAAGTCTGTCTGCCTATTCTCTTTTCAAAAATGAATTTCGGGAAAAGAAATTAAAACATATTTAAAAAGAAATCTTATATTTTATTTTTTAAACTTGATACATTTCTTTCAGGCACTGCGATCATCAGTATATTTTAAACAAATTTTATAACGCACAATTTTTAATATGTTTTTCATATCGTATACAGTATTAGTAATATCCAGAATACATAAAGAATCTATATCTTCATAATCAATATCCAGGATCTCAATGATCAAGTCACCGCTTTTGAGTATATCAGCCAGCTATTCGCTGATTTTTTTAAATCCTTTAATGTATATGAAAGCCTTATTGTCATCATTCTCTTCCACACCAATTACATCCTTTGTAATCAGGCATTCACCATGCTGTACGAAATCATCCTGTCTTTCCATTGCAATCCATGGTGACAAGCACTCAGTCAAGAAGCACAGTCCTTTTCAGATTTTGTCAAGAAATTCCATGGGACATGTAAAAATGTTATGAGAGAATAGTTCCGTTTCTCAACACCGTCACTTCCTTTATGATAAATTTCCTTTCGGCGATAAATTCTTGTACAAACAATCAAATTAGGCATGCATTAAAAAAGTGTGTTTTATGTCATTGTATTTAACGACATTTCAAAGAAAATTTTTAAATTGATTTCAGAGGTGACACACATATTCCTTTGTTATTGAATATTGTCACACTTACTCATTGTAAATGGACCAAAAAAATGAAGACTTTGTAAATGTGACTTATGGCATATATTATTGTATCAACGATATATATAGGATAAGCCCACTACACACCTTTTTTATCGCATACATACACATACACACGCACAAGAAACCAAATCTTAAGAATAAGCGTCAGAACGACGAGAAGCTGCTGCGTTCGGCGCCTCTTAGGCCATGTAGCATAATACAACCGAGCTGCAGCGATTACGTATATAATTGCGATTAGCGACGGAAACGGCTGTATAACTTCGAGACTCGAGTTCAGAAGTAATCAAGCCACCGAAACGATCTCATAGAAAACAACAAACATTTTTCTATAACCGAGTCTGCAGCGCGAGTGATACGAAACAACTCTTTATCAAAGGTCAAGACCGAGATTTTGCCTGAACATTTCTGTATTAATATTCAATAAATAACATTGAAAGATCTCTGGACAACTATTCACTACACAACAATTGGTACCTCCTGTGAGGTCGTTCGCAAAGAGAATGCGAACGACATTAAAACGATGGAGATCCTGCCAATCTGTGACTTTCCAAACAACCACATGTGGACGAGATTTACACGACGATCGGAATCGGACGGATTGAAACCAAGAAGGCGAACAAATGGATCAGATCACAAGGCGAGACACAGGGTAACGGCGAGTACAACATATCTATCTAATATTCATTCAAATTCCCTCATTCCTTTCTCTTTTTTCGCGTCATTTCTGATTATAGCCAATAAAATCAAGCTTGTTCAAAAGCGAACATCATTTAAGTCGCAGATTACTAGTTTATCGAATCTTCTCGAAAAAGAACGGCATGGTACACATGTGTAAGTCCGGTTTAAGATTACGTATGGCACGTATTACCGAGCTTTATCATGCGTATGAAGAATTTAACGATAAACTCATACTACTAGACTTAAACGACAATCATAAGGACGAATTTATTAATTTCCAAGAAAGATTTTATTTGCTTGTAGATAAAATCGACGAGTTATTAAAAACGGCCGTGTCCGACAATGCCGTTGTCTCGAACGGCGCCGCGAGCGTTGCGAAGCGAAGGATAAAACAACTCGAAGCATTGCTATCGAATTTCGACATTACGAAAATTGGCTATCCTTCAAAAATGCATTCGTCGCGATGATAGATACTTGATCCGAGTTATCTGAGATGGAAAAATTACAATATTTACAATCAGCTTTGACAGGCGAAGCGGCCAACAAAATAAAAATTTTAACTGTCGCAGAAACAAATTATCGCAAGGCATGGGATTTATTGGAAGCGCGAATGAAGTGAAACGAGTCTTGATTTCGCGATATTTGTTTTTGCTTATCAATTTGCCGATTCTAGAAAAAGAAACGACTAACTCAAGGTTCGCTGACGCGCAGCAATGTCGCGTCATTGAACGCGCTGGGAGTCAACGTAGGTTCAGAAATACTTGTTAATATATTAGAAAATAAACTACCGACAAG